AATGGAGCTAGTGGGAGTGGAAGTGCTGGTGTTGAATCTAATGATGGAGTCACTTTGTTGGAGTGTTCAGATGATGATGATGATTGGGATGATTGTAATTTTGATTTTCGGTACAAGAAAATGAAAACTAGCAAAATAGATTTTTTTTCCCCGGAAAAGATGAGGTAAAATGATAGCTAATGGAACTCAATAAAGACGCTGCTGATGGAAATATCGATATTTTAAATTGGTGGAAGATCAACAAATCTAGATTTCAATTTTTATATGAGGTTGCAAGGGGTGTACTTGACATTCATGTATCCACAGTTGCTTCTGAGTCAGCATTTAATGGACGATGCGTTCTTCCATTTAGGAGTTATTTAACTTCTAAAACAATTGAGAACTTGATTTGTGCACAAAATTTTTTGAGAGTTTCCAAAGATAGAGATTGCATTGAGGAGATAAAATTCTATGAGGACATTGAGAGGGGTAAAAAATAGATATTATAATTTTTCTTATTAAATCTTATTAGTAGAAATTTTTTTAGTCTTTTATGTTTGTTAATTGTGCTTTTTCAATTAGTTCTTGTAATGTTTCTTAGTATGGCAAGTTAAGAAATTGATGATTAAATCAAATAGTAGGTAAATACTAGCTATATTTAAAAATATTTTTAAATTGGACGACTTTAATTTGTAAGAGCTAAGATTGAACATATCATTAGTTGGATTCATGTGGCTTTGTAACCGAACCCTAATGGTTCCATAATTTTATTTGGACTCGATGATTCCATTTGTTGAATATCCGAAAAATTTGGTTCGGTTTGGTTCATTTCGATTTTAACAAGAGCCGAATCGAACTGAACTGGACCATGTCCAGCCCTACTCATCTCATCTCTTGAAAAGTTCAAGCCAGTATAGATTTTCCACAACGAAAATGTCAATACCGATGCTCTTTCAAAGTTAGCCAGCAGCAAGGATTCCAAACTGGTTAAAGTTGTCCCAATTGAGAACCTTGCCAGACCTTCCATCTCAAAAGGGGAAAAATTCATGTGGATTGAAGGCACTCCGTCCTGGATGCAGCCAATAATAGCCTTTCACAATGATCAAGTTCTACATAAAAATGAGGACGGGCCAACAAATTTAGAAGATGAGCTGTACA